TTCTTCTCTGAAAAAAACAGGATTTTGGCCTCTGGATTTTTTCATGCTTAAAATTGCTACAATGCACAAGTGATGATAGGTGCCTGTACCTTGGCTGGCAAAGATTAAAACTTGCATCTGTTTCATTATCTTGCCTCCTTTTTCTCTTTTTGATAAAACAATTAAAGCTATAATTAATAAACAAACATAACGAGACGATCTTACCATGTACCCTGGAGAGGAAATCTGTGTTATACTGTCTAATTCATCCTTTCAGCCTTTTCTGTTTCCATTCAAATTGAGATATTGGGGTAGTGAGGACAAAGGAATTTGATGGATAAACTGAAAAGCCCAAGTTAAAACATAAATGTTACCTTGACAGCTCTGTAGGCCAGCAGCAATTTCAGCTTCTGTCAGGATACTAGAAAGAGCCATGTCAAAGCTACTGTAAAATGAAAAAGAATATTGGGTAGAGTTCATCTTGATCTTGCTCTGTCAGCCTTTGATGCTGCCCCATGAGGACAGCCAGGTTTGATTAGCAGGGCATTTGCAACCTAGGTCCCAGGGCAAACCAGGGGAGCTGCCCTGCAGGAGCTGACACTGCCATCCTTTAGTTCAGATACATGTAGTGCATGTGGCTTGCTGTTACCTCTAATTAAGCCTTCAGGTGCACAAGCTGAGGAGAAAACCAAATATATTTATAGAGCTGCACGGCATTTGGGGATCTTTGGTTATTTCCATGCATTTTTTCTATGGATTGTTGTGATGTCTTCAAAAGCTCCAGAGGGAAGATTGAACTCATCTTGCCACTTAGTTTTCCCCAAGGCAAGAACAGAAAGAATGTAAGGTAAAAGATCTTCAGAGTCCTCTTGACTTAATTCTTTTTCAAATAACAGAGATAATGACTTATACAGACCTTAGTTAAGTCCTCTCGACCTTCTGTAAGCAGTCCTAGAGCCACATGATGGCTCAGCTACCTCAGGGGGCAAGTTACTGTGGCTGACAGGACCTGCTAGCTAATCAGATTGATATTTATATCCCAAAGGAATGTGCATGGTATTTTAGACAATACATAAGGTTTAGTGCCATACAGAATAAATCCTCTCAGCTCGCATCTATTTTTAGTCTAGTGAATTTTTAATCTGTGAATGAAAAAAAAAAATTTTTTAATTGCTTGATGATAGCAACAAGTGGACATCTTCATGGTGGACTTCAAGGGCCTGATCCTGATTGGAATTACCCATGAAACATTACTCCTGCAGTTGCCCTAATAGTCTTCAAATAATACTAATACTGATACATTTGTGATAGATATATCTGACATACAAGTAGAATCTCACAGATAAAACGTTTAATTTTAAATCAGCCCAAAGTATTTTTAATAAGCTGATATATAGGCTTTGGTTACCCAGTTACTGAAATAAGTGCTTTGGACTATAAAAGTATAATACTGATGACATTTGCTCAGTATTAATTCATTGCATGGTGCATATTTTAAATCATCATAATAAATGTGTCCATTTATAGAATGAAGGTTGTCAGTTCAGCAGCACACAGGAGTACGCATCAATTAATGGTAAGGAGTGAAACTGAAAAAATAAACTTCTGTAAGGATTCAAACAGTAGCTAAGCTCAAGCTGCAACTTTTCTCTTACTGGTTATTAATAGGTTCCTCTGCTTGGCTATCTCATTAAATCTGTTCGAACCTAACGGCCTCGAGAATGGCTGAAATTGGCCAATGGTGTAAAAAACCATTGGGAGAACATTTCACACCCCTGTATACATAAACGTGCATGGAGTATCATTGTAGATTTAAGTAATATTTAAGTAATGCTGTTACATTTAAAATAAAGCCTAACACTTGGCCAATATAACATAAAGCTGCTGTCGTTTCTTTCAAAATGATATACCTGAAAATACAGACAAAAAACCTCATCTTGCACATCTTGATTTCCCTTGATCATTTCTTCAAGAGAAGAATGCTTAGGAGAAGCACTAACTGTATTATTCTAAACCCATGCTGTGTCATAAATTGAACATTGTGAAAGTAAAGTTTTCTGGACTATATGAGATAATCTGAGCAAGTTACTTTTAAAGGCATTTTATTCTGAACTGGTGGATATATAAATAAGTGATCCATTCTTTTCATTTGGGAATCTGGCTTTGCCTTTGTTTCAGATTCCTAGGAAATAATTGAGAGTATGGCCTGGGATCAGAGAGGATCTGATAATTGTGTCGGATTACTGAACATTCAAGAAATAATCCTTGTGAGAAGACCACATTGAGATTACAAAGCATTTAGTGATAAAAGTTTTTGAGTATTTCTGTGGCAAAGCAGAGGTTGCCTGTAGATGGCACCAAAGACAGTCAAGTCCAGCCATGAAATCTCTCTGGGACTACTTAATGTGAGAGAAAACCAAGGAACTGAGAATGAGAACAGGTTAACACGTGGGCATTCATGAGCAAGGAAGAGAAGAGGAATGCACAGATATTTAAAAGAAAAAAAAGTCTAGTCGGCCAAGTCACTCGAAAGACTGGAGTAAATCAATAACTCAGAAATAATTCCAGAAGACTTTCCTTTAATGATGATTAGGAAGAACAGGTTATTTTCATCTGTCTAACAAAACCAGGTTTTACTGTGTTTATTTTTATGCTGGCTAAATATTACAGTCTGTTAGGGAGATAGTTGCAAATATAAGATCAGTTTGTTCTGGAAGCCTGGGAGTTAGAGCAGAAAGTTAGTTTCTAGGAAATACCAGCTGTTTAATATCTAGTTGTGATGAAACTGATGTGATTCCCTTTGAGTCAAGTATTTGCATATTTTACTTTGAACTTAGGGCCAATAATATCTTTGCAACCGCAGGGAAAGCCATTGTCTAGAGGTACCTTCTTTTCATATTGTAACCAATGTGGTGATCTGATTTTCTTTTCTGGAGCTTGGTATACAAAAACTCTGATGCTCTTGTTTTCATGAGTGTAGGACATGGATAAGCAAACTGAAAGTTACGGAGCTGCCATATCACAGCTGCTAGACAATGTGCTCTATGAGCCTTTGGGACAGAAAGTGTACCAGAAAGTCCATACCAATGTAATGGTATCTTTCTGTGCTTGCAAGCAAAAGTAATATGGAAATTAAGCTTCATAAAATGTAAACACTTTTAATTATTCCACAGCATCCACTTATTAAAATGTTTTAAAATATATGAACGATTACGCATGAAAATGTTAGGTGCATGTCTGTTCAGGGATTTAATCAAGATGTATCTATTTCAGTAACCCATTCCAAGCAATGAATCCAGACTTGGCCCCCTCTGCTCACACTGTTTGTGTGAAGAGCTTCAGGCGCTTCTGATGATGCTGCATCAAAGATTTTCCACATTGGCTGGCTGCTAACTGAAAGAAGAACCTTTACCAGTCTATGTGTGCAATGAATGTTCTGACATCCCCTTGCCCTTTCTGTGCTCTCTTGCTTGTTAGAAGATGACTGTGAGATGTTGAACAGTTGGAGAGCTGAAATTGAATCTGAAGTTTACAAATGGCTCTAGGTTGGGATTTCCAAAGGAACTTGAAGTTAGGAGACAGCCAGCTTCCACTAAATACCAGGAGATTTTATCTTATGCATGATTCTGCTCCTTTATCAGGACAACCCAAAACTTTGGTTTAAAAGAGATGATGGATTCAGTGGCTAGAGCAGTAGGGTGGGTTTGGGATATTGGGTTCAACACCCTGGCCCTCTATATCCTTTTTCTAAGAGCTTGTGTACGACAATCAATTTCTTTGTGTTTTATTCCCACTTAAAGAGATAACAGTACATCTTATTTCACAAGCAGTATTGAGAAGATTAGAGATTAAACTGCTCATACAGGGTAGTGAGGGGACTGAGGTGTGTCTGAGAACTCACAGTCTTTGGGCTCAGTGGAACTCAGATCTGCCACTCACATTTTGGGTTGCTCTTTAATTGTCTTAGAGGTAAAACATATGAACAAGATTTCCTTTACCCTGGGAATTATGAAGCAGTATTATACTGGGTATTATACTGAGTAGGATGGTCTTACTCTAAACCTGGGAAGAGGTTATCAGTGTGATAATACAGGGTGTTGTTAGATCCTTTCTGATTTGATGTAGCATAAACAATTTCTAACAGAATTTTGATTTTTCACTGTGTACTCAGCAGTGTTTTATTTGTGTGCTTCATTAATAAAAGCTTGATGCAGCAGATTTCATTCAAGACTGCCCAGAGAGTTTATAGAACCTCCATCCCTGAAGATACTTAAACTCAGCTTAGTGCAGTGTGCCCTAAGATGGCCTTCTGAGGAAGCGATTGGACCAGAGACGTCCCAGAGATCCTTTCCAGCATTAATTACTCTGTGCTTCTACGCTTAACTGAGGTAACATTGTGACATCACCATTTGTCTCTACTACTTCAGATGGCATCCACACAGACATCCTGCAATCAAAGGTTTTCCCTAGCGCAATGACGTTGTCAAGAGAACACTCAGTGGTATTCCCTAAGAAAATTGAAGGCTGCCACTGGCTGAACTTAAATTCATTGCAATGAACCTTCCAAGAAAACTTTACATTTTTGGGATTTGTTTCCTTTAGATGGAAAATACTTTCTTCTAGTTTGGTTAGCTCTAAAAACGTGGATTCTAGTGCTAACAGAGCACTTAATAGGGACTAGGCATTGTTTTTGCTGAACAGTCTATGGGCTTTTTTTTTTTAAATTGTGGACTTTTTTGAGTTTTATTATAATTCCTTCTAATGAAATGACTGGATGGTTTTAATAAGATTTAAAACTCAACTTCTTGCCACAAGTTACTGCTTAAGAAGAACAGATTTTCTCATAAACAAAATTCTCTTAAGTTTTACATAAAGTTGCAACATACACAAGAATTGCTTGATTCTCAGAAGTACTTAATTCCCTTGTGGCAACAGAAGGCAGTGATGTGCAGTTGTTCAGCATCTCTGAAATAAAGGGTAGGCCACTATGTAGTCTTGCATTTCTTGCATTCCACATGAGACTTTCAGATGTGCAAGGAATGCAGTATCAGGTCTGTCACTTATGGTATTGTGTGTGCCATCTGCTTGTGAACTAGTGACATGATATTTTAGTGATTAGCAGTGTGAAGAGCTGATGTATATATTACATCTGTATATTGCTGCAGATCTGTTTTTTTTCTTCAGCAGATAGGAAAATGAATAAGGTAAAAGCAACCAACACAGTCTCATCATTATGCAAAATATTTCAGTGCTGCAATTAACAGCAGCTATAATTTAAGCCCAGATTTAACATCAAAGGCCGTGGGGATAGAATTAGGATTTATATTCATTATAATTCTGCCAGGGCTTCAGTGAGTCTGATTGCTAGAATTCCTCTTTTGCATTAGCCGTCTTAAATCTGCCAAACAGCTCTCTTATATGCCTGGGTATGAGTGAGCTGTACTTGCCTCACATAATCATCTCTCAATTCA